CCAAACGAACTACCTTCCCCCCCACCCCCCCCCCTTTCAAGAACACTTTTGAACCAAACTCATAGATTTATTTACATTTTTATTTTTTATAGCCGTAGTATTCGAGTTAGTTTGTGTGCACCTCGCCTAATTTTACGAAAAAATATACTACCTCCTACCAGCATAAGTATGGGAAACTATATCCACCAATACTTAAACAGATAAAAAGAAATCACCTAGAGTCAGTTTGGAAAGCCATGTATAATTAGTTGATTGTGTAATTATTAGGCTAGTAATTTTACACCCTGATAATTATACGGTATAGCAATTATAATGAAATATTTGTTTGCAACAACATAATTACATTCGAATTAGGAAGAATTATGTCTGTTGTCACTTGACCCAACAGCCTAACTGAAAATAACCCAGGTTTAAAGCCCTTACCCTGCTTGGTCCAGGTTGTACATAACCTAAAACAATCTTTTTATCATTTAGCCCAACACTAAAGATGCAGTTCGTCCATAGTCCATAGCCTACATAAGCTTCTTGATAGATCTCTTTTATGCGTATTCTTCCTTATCATATAAGCACACTTCAATTCCAAGTGAGAACCTGGATCTTTGAACAAGATTTGAAGTTGTTCAGTTACGAATTTGGCTCATCCTTGCTGCTAGGTTTAGTATTCTCTTCCTTCCAGTGTATATAATCATAAAACCTCCATTATTGGAGCTCTAAGTATCTCAAATCTAAAATTTGATTGACTAAAAAAACTCCATTGAAGGTTGAAGCTTCAAGTTTGAACCATATCTGAAATTTTGAGTTTGAAAGCAAACTCAGATCTAAGATTTGAGATTAATTTGAAATGGGTGTTATTGGGTTTGCTTGAAAATATCATTGGGTATTGTTTCAATTGGTTGGAAATATCAAGAGGAGTTTAAAACTTAAATTTGAAGTGATTTGGAGCAGATTTGCTAGATTTAAGTCAAATTTTGAAATAGGCTCAAGATTAAGAAGAACAAGAACCTGTGAAGCTCCATTGATAGGATTCATTTGTATAATAATGTATAATATTGTATAATAGTGTATATGGGTATATAAACATCTCTTATACACTGTTATACCAAATTGATACATTATTTACAAGTATTTGGTGGATTACTAACTTCTTCTTCTTCTTCTTCTTTCTTCTTTCTTCTTCAATGATTTTAGTGTTAAAATTGAGGTGTAATGGTGGATAAAAGATATTTTCTCTGTAAATGTATATAATTGTTGTTTATACACAACTATACAACGTAAGTACATTGTTTAGATATTATATATATATATATATATATATATATATATATATATATATGATCACGCCCAACTATGCCTTATAAAAAGGACTAAGCAGTCGTTGGCAATATAATCCGATTTACAAGTCCGGAGTCGAATCCCACAGAGAACTAAGGCTTAGCTACAACTGTTCAATATTGCTAAGAAGACAAGCTCGAACAATTCCTATGTTATAAATATTAAGATTCTTGTATCTAATTAACTAACAAATTAAATTAGTAGATTACAACTAAAGATACTAAGGGTTAGAGACAAGATTAAGGAGGTCAAGAGTTATGATTTCCCCCATTGTCGGAATCCTTCCCGCTACGTTTTCTATAAATTCGCCTAAGTATTCTCTACCGATCATGAGTTCTCAGACTGTCGTAACTCTCTCCCGAGTAATTACCATAATTTACTAGACATATTCTCCCGAATTACGCTAGTTGGCATTAAGTACGGCTCACTCGGATCGCACCCAAAGTTTCGTTATCCCTAATCCCACCTTTAAACCCTCCGTATTGATCCCTCATATACGTTAGGAGTGATGTTGTTCAACAACTACCTAAATATGCACTCTCTCCCGAGTAATACACACTAAATAGGCACAGTTGATTGAGAGCTCTTCAACCAACCACAATAATAACGTAGTTGAACAAATAGAGAAAATACTACAGCAAATCTATATTAACGTAACAGGAAAATCATCCTCCAATAGGTTCCATCAAAACACTAGATAACAAATTAGCTATTCATAATAGTATGCATAACAACAATACTATAATTCATAACCAATAATGAAAATAGGAAGAAGGAAGTGAAAAACTCGTAGAAGAATTCTCCGCCTTGCTCCTAGTGTGTTCTTGCCTCCGTAGGTCTCAAGTGTGTCCAAACTCGATCTCCCCTTGTCTGTCTAAAATATCTCAAAAGTGACGTTTTTAGGTCTATTTATATGTGTAGGAAAAGCCCTAAACGTGTAGGTCAACTCCTAGTCAAGCCGGGAAACAATTAAAACCTTCAAAACTCGGACTGGACCTAGCCTTAGGCCCGGCGTCGCCTGGCTAACGCCAGCCTCAGCCTGGCTTTAAGCTGGCGTCGTCAGGCTAACGCCTGGTTGGGCCTGGCTTTAAGCTGGCCTCGCCAGGCTAAAGCCTGGTTGAGCTGGCTTTTGCCCGGCTTCTCCTTTTCACCTTTCTCGAGCGCACTTTCGACGTTTAAGCATCCCTAGAAAAAAATAAAGAACTAAAATCTAGCAATGATGTGTGTATGAGAAGGAATTACCATCTGTTCTACCATTGACAAAGTAAAAAGGCTGCAAAATTTATTTTATTTGTTTGTTTACAAATGGATGTATATTTTACTAATTGTTTAATCGAGTTCTTCTACTTTTATATTCATATATTATATGTTTAGTAACTATTTAGAAACCCAGCAAATTCTTTTCAACTGACAAAGTGGGAAAACCGCTACTAGTTCTTCTTCTTTTTTTTCTTCTCTTTTTATATATAAATATATTTTATTAATTATCTCATAAATTTAATAGTAAAATACTGGTTTTGGTAGGAGATAAGTACATAATCTCTCCTCAACAATAGGAATGTTGAATGCCATTGACCGTAAGAAATGCTGATTGTGTGAAAAAATGTTGGATTTTTTTGGACTTTGGCCTATTATCTTTGGGCTATAGATTTGCAAAGTTATAACTGGGCTACTTAGTTTCAATGTGTGTGTATGAGTTGTACTTATGTGTAATTCTCCCTTAAAATGTCACGACCCAAAATCCACTAAGGGTCGTGGTGACGCCGGACACCATTGTCAGGCAAGCCAACACTAATTAATTAGTAACTTCTTGTTTTAGCTAACTCTGAATTTACTTCTTTTATATATTTAAACAATAAAGGATAAGTTTCAATGGATAAATAAAAATAGCTTTAACAATTTCAAATACTGAATAATCCCATAGACATCCTAGAACCCGGTGTCACAAGTGCATGAGCAATTACTATGAGGATCGAATAAAGTACATCACTGTCCGAAATACAAATTGGACGGAAGTAATTACAATATGCTGAAAGAGACTATACTGGATGCGGTTCGCCTCGAGAAATGCAGCTCACCTAGTCTCCGTATCATCCATGCTGCTACGCTCAGTGGGCCGCTAGAAGTACTTTTGCCTATGCAACAAAATGCACAGCAAGTGTAGCATGAGTACGAAAACAACGTGTGCTCAGTAAGCATCCCGCCTAATCTCGAAGAAGTAGAGACGAGAGGTCGACTTCGACACTTACTAGTGGTCCAATAATGATAAATCAATAATGTAACAAATTGAGGATTTATATAAACATGATTGTAATTCAATAAAGTGAAGCAAGTAGCAATTCTTTCTTTTATAGGAAATTTCCCAAATCACTTTTCATCATTTATACATTTATTCTCAAACCGGGAAGAAACAATATCACTTCATTAAAGCTCAAGGCAAGCAATACGAGCATGCGCAAATCATACCGAGGACGTACGGCCCGATCCAATAATATTTAAACTGTGCACTGCCAGAGGGTCGAATGGCGCGAACCATAGATGCATCTGTTTAATCTGCCGAGGCGTTCGGCCCGTTCCACAATAGATAAACACATTCAAATAGTCTAATCAATAATTCATCGACGAGCAATTGTTCAGGAAAATGCAAGTTTCTCTTTTAAAAGTCAAGAAATTATATCTAGTTTTTTAGAAATTCATTTACACGTTCGATATGTTTAAGCATCTTTAAATTTGTCAACAAGGTTGTATTTATTACAAGTAAGCATGTTTTTGGGTCCTAGACTACCCGGACATAAGCATAATAGTAGCTCGCACGGACTTTCGTCACCTCGTGCGTACGTAGCCCCCCACAAATAAGAGCACATAACCAATTAACTCACCTATGGGGACAATTTCCTCTTACAAGGTTGGAAAGGAGACTCACCTCGCTCTGAAGTTCCATAACCGGCATTCCACGCCCTTCTGAAGACTTAAATTAATGCATAACGCTCCAAAACTAGCCAATAATTATACAAAATCTATTAATATATGCCCATTTACTCATAATAATCCAATTTATGACAATTCCTAACCCCGACCGAAAAGTTGACAAAAACGCCCGCGGGCCCACGTGCCCGGATTCCGAAATTTTTCGAAGATAAAGTTTACCCATAACCTCACGAACTCAAATATAAAATATACTCTCAATTTCATGACCAAAATCGTGGTTAAAGTCCAAGAATACGAATTTTCTAGGTTTTCCTCAAACCCCCAAATTTCTACCAATTTACATGCTAAAATCCATACATAATCAATATATTTAACTCAAGATGGGTGGGGTTAGCTTACCTTGTCGTTGATGATGAAAAACCCCCCCACTTGAAGCTCTCCAAAATCGTCCACACCAAATGAAAATGGGAGAAAAATGACCATCTCCCGATATTAAAAGAATACGTTGCCTCCAGCCTTTCCGCACCTGCGGTGCATAAGCCGCACCTGCGGCCCTCGCTTCTGCGGCGCTCGTGCCGCTTCTGCGGTCCCAGGCTCAGGGCCAAAAATTGCTTCTGCGGTCTCCTAGACGTTGGTGCGCTCCCGCATCTGCAGTTAAAGTGCCGTACCTG